AGAAAAGCCTCTCAGACTCTGAGCCCGACAGCACCAAACTATTTTTTTATATTAGACAATTAATTTAATTTCACATAATTATCGCGGTAGAAGCCATTTGTTTGTTAAATACTTAATGAAACATATTTACCGTGTTTGATGTTTGTTGTAAATGACGTATAGTCACAGAAGAACGAGGTAATTAGTCCAAGTTTGTCGTTTATTGAACGTTCAGAAACTACAGCAGCTGTGATGAGCCACAGCAAAGGTAAACTAAGGTAAAATAACTGAACAGGTGATCAACTCTAAACCACTCGCACCTTTTTACTCTCCATCTCTCTCCTCCTGCGCTCCACAAGCCGACTAGAGATTACTTTCAAAGCATAATATTCAGTCCGTTACGATATTAGGTTTGCAGGCTTGATATTTATTTTGAGATCATTAATAAGCACTCCCTGAACACAGCGGTGGTTGATTAGTTAATTTTAAACTTCTGCTCTGCTCGTTATTTTGGTAATGGAACCAAAACGCACAGAATTGCGCAACACCTTGTTGAAACAATAATTACTGAGATTATTATTGTTGTTGGGTCATTAATTTGAACACGTTTTGTTGACTTTTTTGTTGTTTAATAAAGTTACGAACTTTTTGATAAGGAGCCAGAGGAGGACGTGCTGGTTTCAGCGTCCTGGCGGCGCTTAGTTTGTCACCTAATGCCGAGATCGACTCAAAACCTTCTGTGATTGACATATTACAGGCCTGCTCTGGTAAAGCACGAACAGTTCAGAAACAATATGAAATGGAAAAAAAAAGTTATTTATTAACTGATTAAGTCGTGTTTTAGATTGTTCTTGAAAAATGAATCACTCACGGCTGTACAGTGAACCTGTTGATTTTTTACTGCAGACAGCTGCTCCCCTCTCTTGCAGGTACTGCGTACCCCCGCTAAATCTTTTAGGGGTACGCAGTACCCTACCCTACCCCCTTACTTTCACCCCTGCCTTTTTTTCTCTCTCACTCTATTTTGGTTTTGAAAAACTTGATTTTATAACTTTTCTTAGCAGCATAGTAACTGCCACAATCGTTCATGGCAGCTGTATTCGGATGCAGCTTCTACTGACTGCAGCTGAACAGCGTCACCGTGAAGCGCTCCAAGCAGGAGCGAACCATTTCATGCAGATCCAGGGGGGAGTTCAGGGCAAAAATGGATATGTGTTTTTTGGTCTGGGAGGGGTAACATTACATTTTTACTGCTAAAAATAATCTTTGAAAATACTATATGATTAATTTTGTGTTTGACAGGACCCTGATTTTTTAGTTTTATTTCTATGAACAAAAAATAAATAATTAATTTGTGGAGGGCCCCCAGCTGGTCAAGGCCCCTAGAACTGTCTTCACTTTTCCCCCTATACCGCGCCCCTGACCAAAATGAATAAAAAGTATTATATATTTTTTAGAAAATGTTTTATTGGAAACATGATTATTGAAATGTTGAATTAATCTGCATCTTTATCATTATTTAAAATCATATTGTAGATATCTATCATGAAAAATGAATGATTTAATGTGTCTGTTTTTATTTCTGTGAATAACCTAGTGCATTGACAAAGCCAGAGATCTCCTGGATGCTGAGCTGACGGCCATGGCTGGAGAGAGCTACAGCCGTGCCTACGGGGTGAGCGCTCATCACACCATCGACATAAGATCACTTTTCTTTTCTCATTATACCTGGGAAACAGATTCATCACCTTGTTCTCTGACCCACTCATGCTTGGATTCATGAGTGGATTTCTTATGGCAGCTCTTGAGATTATCAGTTAAAAATAGAAAATAGCAGGCTTGGTAAAATCTAACCCTTTTGATTCTTGTATGAATAATTTATACAGTGTACCTAATTTTCTTAAAAACTCTTCATCAGACTGAACTCTGTTGGAAACTGGATTCTTGGGTCACAGAGTCAACTTTAATTTTTCTTTCAGATTGTCCTTTCAACATATTTTCCTCTTCTGTACCATATGAATGTTTCAGTTCCAATAAAGTGTGTCGCTAAAGAGTATCACTGAAGGTAATCGTGTGTGTGTTTATTTTCCAGGCCATGGTGTCCTGCCAGATGCTGTCTGAGCTGGAGGAAGTGATCCAGTACAAACTGGTGCCGGAGCGGAGGGACATCATCAGGGAAACTTGGTGGGAGAGGCTGCAGGTACTCGATGCTCAGAAAAATACACACACACACACACACACACACACACACACACACACACACACGCAGCTTATAGTAGTTCAAATCTTCATTCACGTGGGCAATGCAAGCATGCGATGTGAAGCAGATGCTGTTGCTAATGGAAAACATCCCGTCTGCAGCCATGTGGAGACTCAGCAGTGTCTCAGACTGATCCATTGTTGCTCTCAATGTTTCTGCTCTGATTTGCTTCCAGATATTGTTTCTATAAATATGAAAACTGTTTTAGAGAAGCCATGAGTACTGGCTTCTGCTGTCTGTGTTCCCACAAGACAATCAGCAACTTTTAAAATGTTTTGTGGGATCAGTTTGATACAAAGCTTGGTTAGTCTTCGGTTTATGACAGTGATTAACAGATTCACCACACATTGCAGGACTAGGAAAACAACTTGAACCTTTTCACATTTTTCAAGTTAACAAAAGGGGGTTTTATGAAACAAATCAACACAAAGTATAAAAGTGCAGAAGTGTTTGTTGACAGGACCGCTTTAGTCTCCACAAATCCAACCTTTCTGGAACTGTGGCAGAGAAGAAAACCATTGTCGATAACAAGAAGAACTTCTGTTTACAATTTGCTGCAAGCCATGCAGCGAGACAGCAAACATGTTTCACTAGACCAGATCGAACCTTGATTCCAAAAACAGTGGAAGAAAAATAACACTACACATCACCCCTGGACAAAATGTCCCACCATACTACATGGTGGTGGCAGGATCATGCTGTGGGGAGTTGGAGCTCACTTCTTTTACTATGTGCTTTCTTGAGTTTCAATAGCTGCTTCCTTGTTCATGCACTGCTAAATGAGGGTGTATGTTTCTGTGTGTTTTCCGTCAGGGTTGTCAGCGCATTGTGGAAGACTGGCAGCGGATCCTGATGGTCCGCTCTCTCGTCATCAGCCCCCATGAAGATATGAGAACTTGGCTGAAATACGCCAGCCTTTGTGGCAAGAGCTTACGCCTGGTCAGTGCACTGACATATTTATATTGGATGGTAATAGACCATCTACTGTAATTAATAGAAGCTCTCCAGGATCCTATTCATTATCCTTATTAACAATCAACCAGAGTAGACTTCTAACTTTCCTTAACAGGAAATTATGTTTTGGCTCAGAAGAAGTTAAGTGCAGCTATAAATTAAACTTCATTTAATTTTTTCTAAGCTACCAGTAATAAAAGCAGTGAAGCTGACCCTGAGTCATGCTGTGTGGAAATTTAAAGTGCATATCTTCTTGATGAAACGGAGAATTTGTTCCATCTTTAACCTCACTGGTATTCCAATAAGTTGGAGAAGATGGTAGAAAGTGTTGTTATAATTAGCCACATATTAGAATCCAACATCACTGAATGTGCTGCCATTGGAAAATAGAAAGATGCATTACACCACCAGTAAAAATCTAAAAATCTGTTTTTATCTGTTTGTATTAAAGTATATGTATGAAAAACAAAGTTCTGTTCAGTTTAAGTAATTTTGCTAAATGTGCTGCATTCTCCTCCAGGCTCTGGCCCACAAGACCCTGGTGCTCCTCCTTGGTGTTGACCCCTCCAAGCAGCTCGACCACCCGCTGCCCACCACCCACCCACACGTCACATATGCATACATGAAGTACATGTGGAAGAGTAGCCGCAAGGTAGGAAAAGCCACTTGGTCACATAAAATCTGGTCATCACTTTGTTTGTTTCAGTGCAATATATCAGTATGGTCTGACTGTCTCTTTAAGGTTTCATTCAGGTTTATTAACAAGCGTAATGCTTGTCTGTTTGAGATTCAAAGAACAATTCTGTAAAATATACACATTTAATCTTATTTCTGTTTTTGTAACCTTTATTTATCCAGGATTTGTTTGTGATACTAATACAAGTTACAAGATACAAGGCAAGAGCTTACACCTGGTCAGTGCACCGACATATTTATATTGGATGATAATAAACCATCTACTATAATTAATAGAAGCTCTCCAGGATCCTATTCATTATCATTATTAACAATCAGGATTTGTATGTGATACTAATACAAGTTACAAGATAAACATTTGATATTAAACTGGAAATACCTAAACAAAATAAGCAACTCAACAGAAAAAAGTTCAGTTTAAGAAAATCAATCTTCCAATAAAGGAGTCTAAAAGAGCTACAAAATTACAGATGAAAGTATCAACCTTTTCATATCCTCTGTAGATTCAAAATCTACATAGTTCTACCAACCTCTGAAAAAATATCCTAGGTATTTGAAGAGTGCCCAATTTAAGGAGCACAAATTATAGCAGTTGTGTGAAGATAATGTACTCAAAGCTTTATCCTGTACATAAAAATATACCACAGTTGTTGTCTTCTAATACTTATTGACAGGCCAAAAAACAGAACATACATGACACCAGAACTGTAATGTTATGTGCAAGTTTTTTTCACTAAATGAATCTAGAAACTAATCTAGAGTGAATTAAACAGCATGCATTTAGATAATGTCAACATTAAGTCGGACTTTTCAAAAGAAATCAATATGTCAATAATAAAAGTTTAGCATTTTTACTAAATGCTCAGTATTTCCCCTAAAAAGATGTTTATAAGATTCTTATTTCTTGATAATATCTCTGGGCTCAACATAAATTAACAATTTCTGAAAAAGATTTTTGTTGTTCACATTAAGAGTCCAATTGAAGCCGAGCAGTCTGAAGTTTGTCAGCAGCCAGCATCGTAGTACAGCAAACTCAGTAAAGTATGCTGTCATCTGCATAAAAGAACACTTTAGCTAAGAATTGGAACAAAGCAGAGCCTAAGATTGTCAGTTTATTGATTCCAGGGGAAAGGGATAGGGAGTGAGTACTGGAACAGTTGACCAGGTCGTCTTACTGTCGGCAAGAAACAACGGGTTAGAACGAGAAGGTGAGTAGGTTCCAGGAATGAATCGGATAGTTTCTTACTTGGTTTGACGGTGAGAAGACATGAGCAGAGCACAGGATAGTGAGGCTTCGTTGGAGGGCGGACAGGTTGGTTAGAGTCGGGGCGAACGGAGTTCCACTTGGTCCAGTTGTTCTTTTCTTCTCCAGCTAGGTTCAGGCTCGGACCGGCAGGTCCTCTTGCGTCCCGAAGGGGAATCCACTGGAGACGGACCAATTTCAGGGGCAGAGGCGAGCACACGAGAGATGGCGTCCGACTGGTACCACCAGTGGTGTCGGGGAGGAACACACGAGGAGAGTGACTCACAACAGCGGGGTAATCGGCTCTCACAGAGCCACCGGTCAGACAGCGCACTCGGGAACGACGTAGAGACAACAGGGTCACCTGGCGTGGGAGACAACAAGGAGTTAGTATAGAGCAGGAAACGGAGGGCCTTTCTCTGAAACGATTGTTACCAAGGTAAGCAACACTCAGGCGAAGAAGAGTTGTCCAGCAGCTGCTTAAATCCTCAATCCATCCCCTCCAAACGAGCTGCAGGTTACCCCCGCAGCTTCCCAGGGGCTCAGAACCCTGGCGGCATCTTGTGGATACAATGGGGAATGGCAGGTGCTCCAAAGAAAATAAACTCAAAAACAAAAACACAAAACAGAACCTGACAGTACCCCCCCACCCCCACCCCCCAAGCAGAGGACGAGGGTTGAGAGTCCTGAAAATTTCTAATAAGGGAGGGGTCTAAGATAAACGATCCAGGAACCCATGAACGTTCAGGGCCGTACCCCTCCCAGTCAACGAGGTACTAGAAGCCCCTGCCTCGCCGCTGGGAGGCAACGATCCGGCGGAAGGAGAAGGCCGGTTGGCCATCGACGTCACGGGCGGGCGGAGTGGGTTCGGCCGGAGGGCAAAGTTCACTGGACAGCACCGGCTTGATTTGAGACACATGAAAGGTTGGGTGAATGCGTAGGGACTGGGGAAGACGAAAGCGCACAGCAGAGGGACTAATGACAGCCAACACCTCGAAGGGACCAATGAACTTGGGGGACAGCTTCCTAGACATAGATTTGAGGGGAACGTCACATGTAGATAACCATACCTTCTGACCTACAAAGTATGTTGGGGCAGGGATTCTTCTACGGTTGGACAGGCGTTTATTGAGAGTGGAAGTGTTGTTTAGAGCGGTGTCCTTCCAGATCTTATGGCTTCTACGGATATGGTGTTGTACTAACGTGACCGAGGTGTTGGTTTCATCAGAGGGGAGGAGAGGTGGTTGGTACCCCAGCACACCTTCAAAAGGGGAGAGACCAGTAGCTGCGGAGATATGGCTGTTGTGTGCATACTTGACCCAGGGAAGGTAGTGGGACCAATCGTCAGGGTGACCTGAGAACTTAGAATTGTGTATCCACTGGAGGAAGCGGGATCGGACAGAAGATGGCACAAACATTTTACCTGGGGGGCAGGATTCTGGAGCTGGCTCGGCTTGTAGAGCTTGACGGATGGTATCTTCGATCTCCCAGGTGACCACCCCAACGGTGCAACTGTGAGGCAGGATTGGAGCTGGGGCCTCCTCGGAGTTGTCTGGAGAATAGACTCGGGAAAGGGCGTCAGGTTTGACATTCTTGGAACCGGGGCGATACATAATGGAGAGGTTGAATCGTGAAAAGAACAGAGACCCACGAGACTGGCGTGGATTGGATTTCTTAGCTGATTGCAGGTATGTCAGATTCTTGTGATCGGTCCAGACCAGTATGGGGTGTTCGGCTCCTTCCAGCCAGTGGCGCCACTCTTCCAGAGCTAATTTGATAGCGAGGAGCTCTCTGTCTCCCACGTCGTAATTTCTCTCTGTCGGTGAGAGTCTACGGGAGAAAAAAGCACATGGATGGAGTTTATGGTCATTGTCAGAAGTCTGGGACAAAACAGCTCCAACCCCAGTGTCGGAGGCATCAACCTCCATAATGAACTGCTTCTTGAGGTCGGGCAAACCGGGACTTGAGCTCCGCAAAGGCTGCCTCTGCTTGGGGGGTCCAGACGAACTCCCTCTTGCTGGAAGTGAGAGCGGTTAGGGGAGAAGCAGTTTGACTATAGTTACGTACAAATATTCTGTAGAAGTTCGCAAACCCCAAGAAACGCTGAAGTTGTTTACGGTTTTCAGGTTTGGACCAGTCTAGTACGGCTTTAATCTTTTCCTCTGATGCTCTAACCTGTCTGCCGTCAAGAACGTATCCGAGGAATGTTACGGATGGTCGGTGGAACTCACATTTTTCTGCTTTAACATAGAGCTTGTTCTCCAGAAGGCGTTGGAGTACCAAGCGGGAACTTGAATATATCAAGATGCCATCTAGGTAGACAAACACGAAAACATTAATGAAATCTCTGAGGACGTTGTTTACAAGGGCCTGGAAGAAAGCTGGTGCGTTAGACAAACCAAAAGGCATAACCAGATATTCGTAGTGGCCCATGGGGGTCTTAAAAGCTATCTTCCACTCATTACCTTCTCTTATGCGTAGGAGGTGATAAGCGTTTCTGAGATCTAGTTTAGTGAAGATGGTAGCATTTTGGACAGGCTCAAACGCCGAAGACAACAATGACAACGGGTACTTGTTCTTTATTGTGATCTGGTTGAGTCCTCAGTAGTCAATGCAGGGCCGGAGGGAACCATCTTTCTTTTCTACGAAGAAAAACCCTGCACCTAAAGGAGAGGACGAAGTGCGGATTATCCCTGCAGCAAGAGACCTGTTTATGTATTCCTCCATGGTATGTCGTTCGGTTCTGGAAATATTGTACAATTTGCCATTGGGTAATGGAGCGCCGGGCAGGAGGTCAATGGCGCAATCATATGGTCTGTGAGGTGGTAAAGATAATGCTTTGTCCTTACTGAAAACTGGGGCTAGATCATGGTACTCACTGGGAATGGAAGAAATGTCCGTCGGGTCCAATTCAGCAGGGGAAGTCATGGCTGGGACGGCAGAATGAAGGCAGGTACTGTGACACTTGGTGGACCATGACCTTATTTTGGCCTCGACCCAATCTATGTGTGGGTTGTGTGTGGCTAACCAGTTGAATCCCAGAACTATGGAGGAGCTGGCTGCAGGGAACACAAAGAAAGAAATCTCTTCCGTGTGATTACCTGAAATGAGTAAGCGTACAGGTTGGGTTCGGTGGGTGACTTGTGGCAGGTCTTTTCCATCAAGGGATGTGACGCGGAGAGGGACTGGAAGTGGTTCCACCCCGATGGCTAATTGCTGGGCTAAATCTGAGTTAATAAGATTCTGTTCACACCCCGAATCGATGAGGGCTGACAAGGAAAAAGGTTCATTGTTACTGAATAGGGAGACAGGAATGATGAGGCGGGATTTTACGGTATGTGTTTCCGGCAGTCTCCCCATCCTTACTGCCGGACCTGTGGGTTTAAACGAACGGGACAGTTGGCAATAACATGATTTGGCTCACCGCAGTAAAGGCAAAGCCGGGATCGCAACCTCCACTGGTGTCAACCTTGTGTGTCCCAGTTGCATGGGTTCGGGTTCAGAGGCTGAGGAAGTGGTTGATGAGTGTGGAAGAGAAG